GATTGTCAACTTACAAGATGATATTGAAAAAGGGGGGCTTGCCCTCCCAAATCTACTCTGGTACTATGAAGCTGCTTCTTTAGAATGGATGCATGATTGGTTTACTCTCAAAAATGACAGAAGTTTAGAATTAGATGGAGCTGAATTACATTTTGGACTTCACACATATTTGTTTTATGATAAAACCAAAATTGATGGTAAATTTAAAGATCATATCATAAGGAAAGCTTGTTGGAGAGTTTGGAGTAAGTATAAAAAGAAATGGTGTACAAAAATTCTGCTATGGGCATCTCTTGCAGAAGCAACATTGATTAAAGGGATTTACAACGATAGTTCCTGGCTAAGGTATAGACAGTTAATAAGTTAGAATGGAGCTCAAATGACATTTAAATCCCAGAAAGATTTAGAAGAATTTGGATTAAATTGGTTTCAATATAGACAATTACTAGAGAGATTTAGAATGGACAAAAATTTGGATCAAATAGGACCAGCTTATGACCCATTTGAAAAAATTTTAAGTGGAGAAAGTAATAAATTTATTGCTAAATTCTATAAATTAATTAGAAATTGGGAGCTGGAAGATAATCAAATTAAAGATTACATGATAAAATGGGCTCAAGACCTGAATCAGGAAATCCCTCTCATGGAATGGGAAAAAATCTGGAAAAAAAAAGATTAAAATACACAGTGAATATAGATTTGAAAGAGAACTTATACAAGACTATGCTTAGGTGGTATTTGACCCCACTTAAATTATCCAAAATGTCCAAAGGTTTGAATCCCACCTGTTGGAAATGTGAATGTGAAATTGGTTCATACTGGCATATGTGGTGGAAATGTAAAGTAACTAAAACATTTTGGGGCTTGATAAATTCGGAAATTGGTATAATATTAAATATTCAACTGCATGGTGACCCCAAGATGAATTTGTTAAATATTGTTACGGAAGATATTGAAAGAAAATATGGGAAATTACTCTTCGTTTTGATAACAGCGGCCAGAATTATCTTTGCTAGATACTGGCGGAAAAAAGATGTGCCTAGATCGGAGGAATGGAAAACAAAAGTGCTCGAAATATATGATATGGAAAAGTTGACTTACTTATTAAGTAACAAATCAAGGGTTGAATTTGATAATATCTGGGATTTATGGCACAGATATATGAGGTAGATATTTTGACAGGGAACACAATTGATTATTTAAACATACAATTTTTAACGATAGATATAAGGTTGGATATAATAATATGCTCTGTTATATTGAAGTTGATCGGATTATACTTTGGTTCTCCTAACAGAAGGAGACAGTATTATTGATATTTAAAATATCAGAAATATATATATTAGAAATAGTATTTTGACAATTTATACATAAGAATAAGGATAAGAATAAGAATAAATAAGAATAAATAGAGATATAGGGATAGGAAGAGTATATAGGTAATTTAAATGTGTAATAACGAGAATAATAACATTAGAAGTTATGTCTCGGAGGCATTGGAATAAAATTTGGAAGGCAAAGCCGAGAATTTTTCGTTTCTATTTTTGTTTATAATTTTGCACATATTTACTGTGTATATCCATATATTCATATATCTATATATGTTGGGTAGATGGACTGAGATGTTGTTAGATTTTATCAGCTACAGAGGAATAATTGTAACACGTGATATGCTTAACTTGATCTGGGGGTCTGAGATGTCTAATTTTTAGATGAATGTTAATTAGTCATTAAATTGATAATGGAAATATCTCTTTATAGTGCTCTAGGAAGTCATATTTCTATTTCTATTTTTTTTCTTTTTCTTGTTTGTTTTTATTTTTGTTCCTTTTGTTTTTAGTTTGTATGTAACTATGTATGTATGTAAATGTGGTATTAGTTTTTGTGTATTGTTCAGTGTTATATGTTTTTTTTATTCAATAAAAATTTTAAAAATTTAAAAAAAAATTTAGCCATGGTGCCACTGGCTGAATCCATCACAGATCAAAGCCTCACTCAGCCAGCACCTTTTTAAAGCTTCCGACTTCAAAAATTGGCTGGCTGAGTGAGGTTTTGACCCAGGATGGATTTGGCCAGCAGCATTGCAGTTAAATTGGTGGTGATTTATGTCTGATAACATCCGGGGGTATCCTGGATTGAAGCTGGAAGATGCAAGCCAGCTGAATTTGGCAGGCAATAAGCTTCAATGTTAGCTTATGTGTATATATGAGAAATGGAGGGATAACAGGAGCCATCATAGACAGTGGCTGCTGTCCAACAACCTCTCAGCATAACATGAATACCTGCATGCAAGAAATATACTATGCCAGCAGTATGCAGCCTCCATGCAGAATAGCAACGTTGCATAGCACATGTCTGACTGGGTGATGTGCAATGTACAACACTGCTGTATGAGAAATTCTGATCAGCTGAATATGTCTGTTGTGCTATGATGAATAACTTTCCTGTGTAGTGAGACTTATACATGCATATATCACTATTTGTTTCCGGGCCCAGAATAAAGTGTTGGTTATGACCTTTAAAGACCTAAATGGCTTGGGTCCAACTTAT